TGTGGGGCTGAGAATAAGTAGAAAAATAATGAATTACACAAGAGTACTGAGTGTACTCACTTTTGAGTCAGTAAAATCATAATTATTTCAATGGAGAAATGGCCAACTATGTGCTTTGTGCTGTCCATTAAAGTCCAAATGGTTTCATCTTTCTGTCAAAAAATGTTTCCTTCCCTCATAATCTTAAAAAAAAAAAAAAAAAAAAATGTTTCAAGTTCAGTTGCACGTTGCATCAAGCTGCAGCTGAGAGACATAAAGAGTTTGATATAAATGTGACTGATATCCCCAAAAGCTGTTAATGAGAGTGAATTTATGTCTTGTAGTTTCTGAATCAGTAGAGTCAATTATAATTTGGGATTGATGCAAACAAAAACCAAATTAGTCAAATTAATAGAAGGTGAGAAAATGCTAAGCAAGTTTCTCAATTCAAAACATTGAATGATCATAAATGTTCTCGTCCTAATAAAAGTTTTCAAAAGCAACCAACCCAGTTTTAGTTTGCTCTCTCAAGAAATGAAAGCTCGGGGGTCACAAGTTGCTTATGCGTTTCCTCTTGAACCAGTTCAGTTCCAAGTATCTGAACGTGATTTTAAAATGTTGATTTTAAAATAGTTCAACTCCAAGTCCAGCTCCTCCAAACAAAATCTATGTAATTTGAAATAATAACGTGCATCACTCCTATCATCTTGAGAAAATGTAAAATGTGTTTGAGCTGAACAAAACAAAACGAGTGTCCTCTTTCTTAACATTGAGTCTTGAAAACCATTTTCTATGTTTACTCGTTGTAGGCTTGCATGAACAGGGATGATTGTCTTTTAAAAATTAGATGTTGTTGGACAAATTTAATTATAAAAATGTATTTCATTTGACAAAGATATGATGTATTTTCATCATGTGGATAAATCCAATTGTTCAGCCATGATTGGAGACAAACATTAACTTGGGAATTTTAGACCTTAAAAGCAAAGCAAAAACCTATGTTCTACCAATTTGTTTTTTTTTTTTATTTATTTATTTAATTTTCAAGCTTAACATATAAAGTAAACTTTATTAAATGCACAGAAGTTCAGAAAAAAAGCACAATAAAAAGCTATTGCACAAAATTGCTGACTTTAATATTATTGTTAGTGTTATTTTTATTTAATCAAGCATAATATTACTATCCTAAAGGTATCATAGTGGCTGGTTTAACGGGATGTTTTGGAAAACCTTAAGTTTAAAGGTAATCTAAAGTGGGTGTGATAAGGTTGTAGCCTCAACATGAGGCCAGCCTGACCAATCCTGCCCTGTATTTGTTATTTATGACCAGGCCTTGCAGGTGTGTGTGGGTAACATGTCACGGATGTGCTGCCACTTCAATAATAAACCACCAACCGCCACACTAAGGCAATTCTGCGTTTGCCCACAACAGTTGGAAACCTCTCGCACCTTGTTATGCCTAACAGAGAGTGCATCGAGTTAACGGTACGCCCCGAAAGACATTGAGTCAATCTCATTACCAGATTGCAGACCTCAAGTTAAAACTTTTCCTGATTGTTTCTCCACAATAAGTGTGGGAGAAACCGAGCTGGATCAACCGCTAAGTCCACATGTGTTTCCATGTCTCACCCCCACACTCTACCAATTTACAACTCATCAGGACGTTTCTCATACCCATTAAATGTAATTTGCCAAACATTAAATGAGGGGGGGGAAAAAAGAAAAAGAAAAAATACTGCACAAATGCAAAGTACTTCTGTGCCCACAAAACTGCATCTGTAAAACTTCTGAACTGCCAGGGAGTTTCGTGCCAGTTTGGCTTCACACTGTGAGTGTGTGCGCGCGTGTGTGTTCTGCCAGTTTTTGTTTTACTGCCAACAGAATCAGGATATTAGACCTGAGCAGGTTTTAAAAGCCTTTTGCAGGCTGGCTGCTGTAGCTGCAGTTGTGCACACAGGAACAACGTCGCCCAGTAAATAGATGTAACCCGGGGCACAAAGCATGATCCGAGATCAGAGCCAGGAGCTGTTAAAATAAAGGGAAGTATAAACAGTGTAGCCGGTGTGTGATAAAGTGAGACCACCAAATAAGTTTAGAGAAAATTGAAATAAGCATTACTCAAAGTAAGAAATTAGCACATAATTCTCATTGGTTGTGATTAAACTAATGAAGGCATTGACAGTTATGAATAGCTTCATTTAAAGGCTAATTTTACTGTGTACGTGATCATAAATTGACCGTAACATTCCTGGAACTTTTAATGTAACATAAGTAATCTACTGAGAGAAATAAAGGCACATCGAGGACTCGTTCTGTTATTTTTGAGTACGTTTTGTGTAGTCTTGGACTCTCGTCTCAGAGCTGGTGAATTTTCCTTCGAACTGCTCTCGGGGCAAAACAGGACCAGGTGCTCACTTAGCGTTAGCTCTGTCTCCGCTGCCAAAAAAGTAGTGCTTGACATAGAAATGCTTCTATCAGTTCTTCTATAAACCCCCCCCCCCCCAACTATTTCACCACTACAATAGCATAAGCTCCAGGCACACAGTAAATACATAGCGCTGTTATCACAGCTTAACAGATTTTGACTGTGTGTGTGTAAACATTGTGTTTTAATAATCGCCAGCTGCTTTAAATCAGCCTGTGTAGCTCACGTTTGCAGCGGTGTTTATAAATTCCAATTAGCTAAAAATTAGTCTGTTGATAATATAACAACAGTTATTGTGGAGAAACGATGTTTTGCAACTTGAACGTTTTATTTTCCATTTAATCAAATTAAAGCCTCAAACGTCATTGTATTATGTTAGTATTTTATGAAGTTTACCAACATAAAGCAGCCCGTAAATGGGAAGGGAAATTAACTTTAGACTTTATTTTACAAAAAAAACAAAAAACAACAAAAAAAACATCTTATGTGTTCATCCTTCTTAAGAAACACCTTTTTTGCTGTATTTACAGTGGCTGTTTGTGCTTACTCTGCCCATAAAATAACCTCGTGTTGAGATCCATCTTCCTATAAACTCTGATCACATTTCCTGCGTCTGCTAAAGAAAAGCATTCCTGCAGCATGATGCTGCCACCACCATTTTTCACCCCCACCACACAAAGCATCTTACATGTAAGCCAAAAAGTAAAATGCTAATCTCATCTGACCAGAGCAACTTCCTCCTTCCTTTGTCTGCAAGACGATGGCAAAATGATCCAAAATTTAATCCAAGAGATGGCTTTAGTGTTGTGTTAGTACACGTTTGTGCAAGATCTGAAAAACCAGTTCATAACTGCATTTGTAATAGGATCAGTGTATCTCGTCTATAGTGATTCTACTTTAGTAGGGAAGCTCTATCAGCGACAGATAGGCATGTCTTTAACATTTTACCTACTTCCCCCCCAAACTGACTGAGATCGTTCAGTCTGGATGGAAAGATTTTTCCAGAAGAAACCGACGGTGATGTAATTCTATCAGATTATGAGAACGGTGTCATACGTACCTTGCCGTATTTCTGCGCATAGGAGCCTGTGAGCAAAGAATGGAAGACGATGATCGTCTCATCTAGATCCCACACAAACACTCTCTGCAGAACCAAACAAAAGAGATAAGAAAGTATTTCACAACAACCAAAATAATTTTTTTTTAAAGTTTTGGCTTTATACTTTTATTGTACAAGACACTGAAAACTGTTCCACGTCTCTTATCCTTTGCATTGTAGTCAACAGTAAGCAGGTTGGATAAAAATCAAACGAAATACCATATTTCCATTGAGATTTGAATAGATTGTTTATTCAGAACTCCAAGTGCTCTGTGAGAGCGAGTTCTTTAGTTCTTTACCTCCAGGTCACTGTCAGGGGGAGGAGAAGGGTTGTTTTTGCGGCCCCTGCCGCGAGACTTGGACCCCCCACTCCGGCAGGCTCTGTCGTCCAGCTCTTTGATGGGCGTGGAGGGGCTCTGCACTGTATCAAAGTCCCCTGAGAGCGAGTACAGAGACACAGAAAATATGCTTGAAACATTTCATATTTGGAAATCCTCCCAAATCTACCTCAAAACTACACAAGCAATCAAACTACGTCCAGTGCACTGGAAAGCAATAATGTGGTTAGAGCTGATTTCACAAGTGTTCTGTTGCTCTAAATCAGACTTGTACTGGCTGTCAAATTTAATAATTCAATGCAACTGGAACGCCAGATCAACTTAAAAGAAAGCAGGAAACCTAAAAAAAAAAGAACAATTGGTTGTTTCGACAAATTTTGGGATAACGGGAACATGTGAAGGTTTAGCAAAACGAGAAGGAGAAAACTTGTGCGATCTGATTGCTCTTGCATAGATACTGCATGTGTGTCTGCAAAGGAATACAGAAGAATGCGCACAAAGACACACACACACACACACACATATGTATGTATGTATATACACATTTCCTCTGTCTGACTTTATGTTTTCAAATGCAAAGATCATGTCAAGACTTAGAAAGTGATGAATATTTAAGTTTCTATGCATTAATTCGCTATAATGAAGTGAAATGGCGTAATACATGCATTTTGAGGCAGCATCTGAAACACACTGCTTTCCTGTGGGACATCATGGAAAAAAAGTCAGTGAAGATAAGAGACTTGTGGCCTACAAAATGATTACTTCAGTCAAACGATGAATCCAGCTACCCTAACATTCAGGAAGTAGAAGGTTTCTGTGCCCCATAAATGAACGTTTTGGTGCAAAATGTTTATTTCAAACCCCGTAACAAAAGCAAAAGGCTGCGACGCTGGCAAGAGGTGTCATTATTTAAAGTGAAACGAATCCTAAATCTACTGAGATGAACTGAAAAGCCAACAATAAGAACATCCTAACTGACCTAAAACAGTAAAGGTTCGGTTTGATTTAATGCCAAACAAAAGAGGGGATTCGACTTGTAGTGCACCGTATATAAATATCTGATTTCAAATGTGAACGCTTGTCCAGAATGTTTTTAATCACACTTCCAGTTGTTTTGCTGTAAATGCAAGCATGTCTAAATCGGTAGCAATTTTTTTGCACCTTTTTCTCAACGTAAAACCCAACAGACTTACTTGAATTGTCCTTCTCATTTTTAAGAGTGGCTTTTCTTGTCATTTTTACGCACCAGGGAAATAGGACGTTATTGGTTGTTATTTAAAAGTTCCCAGACAGCTAGAAAATAAAATAAAATATGACATACAAAAATTCCTGGGTTAAACCTACAGAGTGTGAAATATGGTACTGAATGAATCTCAAGTTGAATCACATTCTTCACAAATTGTTTTCAATAAAAGATCTATTGATTTGTTTATATTTTAACACATCTTTACCAGAAAACCTAATAAATCTCAGCTTGATGCATTTCACATTTATTAATCAGGGATAATGATTTTGAGTTATCAACTTGCCGGTCAAGATTAGGGCCAAAAAGTTGAAATCTGGTCATCAGCCAATTCTTTGGTACATCTCTATTTTAATAATAAGATCTGACTGGGGGAGAAAAGAGAAAAAAAAATGACTCAAGACTTTTGTACAGTGATATTTACATTTTGGTTTTGTTGAAAATTATGTCATCCATTCCACAAAACAAAGAAAAACATAATAGATACCCTTTATTGGACTCTAAAGTTTATCATATTTCACGTTCCGTGTTATTTGATGTGAGCCATGCAGAATGTGTGTGGTTGTTCCTGTGTGTGTGTGTGCGCGTGTGTGTGTGTGGTGTGTGTGCGGTTCCATACCTATTTTTGTAGCACTGTAAATGTTTTCAATGGGGAAAACCGATCCAAGACTATACAGAAGAACCTTCGCCAGCGCCGGTATGAGCTGCGTCGTTGTCACCAACACATTTACACAGTTACTCCTGCAGGAGGTGAAAGCAACGTCAATGGATAACGGAGGCTGATTATTGAATAAATGCTTTTTTTTCTTTTTTTTTTTCTTATCTATGCCCTTCGAATCAAAGACGCAATGCATCGACCGTCTTCAGCAAGAAGAAAAGATGTTGCTCAGAATTTGAGTGAAAGAGTGACCGTGAAACATGTATGCGAACCTTGAGCTTATGATGGACAAGGACTTGAGTGCGTGGGTGAGCCAGGAATCGGTCAGAGCCTCCACCTCTGCTCTTAGCTGCAGCCAGGCATCTCTCTTTGCAGGGCCCAGCAGACCTTTAACACAACAAATTAAATGTAAATGTTTTCTTTTCTTTTTTTTTTTAAGAATCCAGCATTAAAACAATTGTTCTACCCTTGAAAAAGAACGATTCAAAACGAAATCCCAGAAAGATACGTTACATTTGTGCCAGTGATGAGTGTGTGTGAACAAAAAAAAAAAAAAAGAAACGTTCTTGAACAATGTCTCCTTTCAACTAGTGAGCAAGGGATTCCATGTTGATTGGCTTACCCCCTACATTGTTTTTGTATGTGCTATACAACTCTTTGACCCGTCGGTAGCGGAAGGCCAGCTTCCTCATCCAGTCGACCCCACCGCGGACCCCCGTAGCCAGGCACAGGTTGGCGCTGGTTGCAGCTGCATGGAAGCCATCAGTTGCAAAACTGTAAGTACTGTCAATAATAATGATATGTTTTATTTAAAAAGTCTGCTCTGTTAGAAAAAAAAAAGCTTAATTATTATTAGTCATGAAAAAGTGATTTGCACGAAGCAATTTTAAAACGACTTTTAGGAACCAGAGAGCTAATTAAAGACAAGAGTTTCACCCAGGACGATGAGAGCTGCATGCAGTAGCGCTCATTTTTTATTTTATTTTTTTTGCAGAACAGTTAAATATTACATAATCACCTTAAGTCTTGGCCATTGTCATCTGAAGACACATCATCAATATGTACCTGATCACATTCCTGCATTGACAAACACATAAATGAGACAATTATACCACAGAGAACAAAATGTTATGCCACATTTTATCCCCCCCTTCCGTCAGAGTTGACGGATGGAGACAAATTCAAAACAATGCCAGAAGGTAACTTGCTAAAGGTCAAAGGTCAGACAAGTGCAGCTTGAACCAACAGGAATTTGTAAAGCACGCAGCCGGAGTTACAGCAGCTTGGATCAAAGCGTACTGGTCTTCATATTGTGTGTGTCAAAATAGCCCAATCAAAGTCCTGATCAAACTTCAACTGTGAATATGTGACAAGACTTGAAAACTCTCAGATGATGCTTATAGGATCCGACTGAGCTTCAGTTACCTTCCAAAAAATAAATAAATCAATTTTCAGTCACACCGACCCTACCTTTCAGATATTTATTTGTAAATTTAAAAAAATAAATAAATAAAAATACAAATTTCATTTTCATTCGATCTCAGTTCTTCTCTAAATTATGTTTTAACCTAAAGTACATTAGAATGTGTCAAAAGTTATTGTTTTTCTGCAGAGCCCTTCACTAATTGAAATAAAATTTGTGTTTTGTTTTTTTTACCACAAGAGGGCAGTAGTAGTATATTGATACATAGAATGCCCTTGTGCTAAATTTATAGGCCAGTTATCTTAAATATATTTGATTGTTTTTTTGTGTCATCTCTCACCTCCAGGTCATTAAAGAATAAGTGTGTGTCAGCCATGTTGAAGATCATCTCTTCCATCCGCAGACCAAGTGTGACTGCCATCGGAGGGTCCTGAAAAAGAATAAAACACAACAAAGATTAAAAAGAACAATTTTATCATCTCCAGTCCAGTTGTAAAAAATAAAAATAACATTTTACAATCAGCACACTTTTCCAATTCACACCTCTGCCCTCCACCCACTGCTGGAGTTGGTACATTCTGCTCATCACACCAGACGGTGACAGACAAGCTGCACTTGCCCTGTCCCATCAACATTCCTAAAACTTGCGGGGGGTCTGGGGGGGACAACAGGGTGAGCAAAATGAAGTGTGTGCGTCCCCTCCTGTGCGTACTGCAGAGAGTCGGTACCCTCGGAGGCAGATGCTTTAGTTTATTTGGTATGTGAATGGTTTGTGTGTGTGTGTGTTTGGGAGAACGCAGTCTACCCTGCCAGCCCGGGGCTCAGCTGCAAAAACCATCATCTGTGACGGGTCAGCGCGGGTCGACAGCTTGCTGCACAATTCGCTGACACTATCAGATGACTAGAATAGAAAGATACTTACAGGAGGGTGAGTGAAAGTTAAAAAGAGGGAAACTTGCACAGACAACATTTGTGGGGCTGAGAATAAGTAGAAAAATAATGAATTACACAAGAGTACTGAGTGTACTCACTTTTGAGTCAGTAAAATCATAATTATTTCAATGGAGAAATGGCCAACTATGTGCTTTGTGCTGTCCATTAAAGTCCAAATGGTTTCATCTTTCTGTCAAAAAATGTTTCCTTCCCTCATAATCTTAAAAAAAAAAAAAAAAAAAAATGTTTCAAGTTCAGTTGCACGTTGCATCAAGCTGCAGCTGAGAGACATAAAGAGTTTGATATAAATGTGACTGATATCCCCAAAAGCTGTTAATGAGAGTGAATTTATGTCTTGTAGTTTCTGAATCAGTAGAGTCAATTATAATTTGGGATTGATGCAAACAAAAACCAAATTAGTCAAATTAATAGAAGGTGAGAAAATGCTAAGCAAGTTTCTCAATTCAAAACATTGAATGATCATAAATGTTCTCGTCCTAATAAAAGTTTTCAAAAGCAACCAACCCAGTTTTAGTTTGCTCTCTCAAGAAATGAAAGCTCGGGGGTCACAAGTTGCTTATGCGTTTCCTCTTGAACCAGTTCAGTTCCAAGTATCTGAACGTGATTTTAAAATGTTGATTTTAAAATAGTTCAACTCCAAGTCCAGCTCCTCCAAACAAAATCTATGTAATTTGAAATAATAACGTGCATCACTCCTATCATCTTGAGAAAATGTAAAATGTGTTTGAGCTGAACAAAACAAAACGAGTGTCCTCTTTCTTAACATTGAGTCTTGAAAACCATTTTCTATGTTTACTCGTTGTAGGCTTGCATGAACAGGGATGATTGTCTTTTAAAAATTAGATGTTGTTGGACAAATTTAATTATAAAAATGTATTTCATTTGACAAAGATATGATGTATTTTCATCATGTGGATAAATCCAATTGTTCAGCCATGATTGGAGACAAACATTAACTTGGGAATTTTAGACCTTAAAAGCAAAGCAAAAACCTATGTTCTACCAATTTGTTTTTTTTTTTTATTTATTTATTTAATTTTCAAGCTTAACATATAAAGTAAACTTTATTAAATGCACAGAAGTTCAGAAAAAAAGCACAATAAAAAGCTATTGCACAAAATTGCTGACTTTAATATTATTGTTAGTGTTATTTTTATTTAATCAAGCATAATATTACTATCCTAAAGGTATCATAGTGGCTGGTTTAACGGGATGTTTTGGAAAACCTTAAGTTTAAAGGTAATCTAAAGTGGGTGTGATAAGGTTGTAGCCTCAACATGAGGCCAGCCTGACCAATCCTGCCCTGTATTTGTTATTTATGACCAGGCCTTGCAGGTGTGTGTGGGTAACATGTCACGGATGTGCTGCCACTTCAATAATAAACCACCAACCGCCACACTAAGGCAATTCTGCGTTTGCCCACAACAGTTGGAAACCTCTCGCACCTTGTTATGCCTAACAGAGAGTGCATCGAGTTAACGGTACGCCCCGAAAGACATTGAGTCAATCTCATTACCAGATTGCAGACCTCAAGTTAAAACTTTTCCTGATTGTTTCTCCACAATAAGTGTGGGAGAAACCGAGCTGGATCAACCGCTAAGTCCACATGTGTTTCCATGTCTCACCCCCACACTCTACCAATTTACAACTCATCAGGACGTTTCTCATACCCATTAAATGTAATTTGCCAAACATTAAATGAGGGGGGGGAAAAAAGAAAAAGAAAAAATACTGCACAAATGCAAAGTACTTCTGTGCCCACAAAACTGCATCTGTAAAACTTCTGAACTGCCAGGGAGTTTCGTGCCAGTTTGGCTTCACACTGTGAGTGTGTGCGCGCGTGTGTGTTCTGCCAGTTTTTGTTTTACTGCCAACAGAATCAGGATATTAGACCTGAGCAGGTTTTAAAAGCCTTTTGCAGGCTGGCTGCTGTAGCTGCAGTTGTGCACACAGGAACAACGTCGCCCAGTAAATAGATGTAACCCGGGGCACAAAGCATGATCCGAGATCAGAGCCAGGAGCTGTTAAAATAAAGGGAAGTATAAACAGTGTAGCCGGTGTGTGATAAAGTGAGACCACCAAATAAGTTTAGAGAAAATTGAAATAAGCATTACTCAAAGTAAGAAATTAGCACATAATTCTCATTGGTTGTGATTAAACTAATGAAGGCATTGACAGTTATGAATAGCTTCATTTAAAGGCTAATTTTACTGTGTACGTGATCATAAATTGACCGTAACATTCCTGGAACTTTTAATGTAACATAAGTAATCTACTGAGAGAAATAAAGGCACATCGAGGACTCGTTCTGTTATTTTTGAGTACGTTTTGTGTAGTCTTGGACTCTCGTCTCAGAGCTGGTGAATTTTCCTTCGAACTGCTCTCGGGGCAAAACAGGACCAGGTGCTCACTTAGCGTTAGCTCTGTCTCCGCTGCCAAAAAAGTAGTGCTTGACATAGAAATGCTTCTATCAGTTCTTCTATAAACCCCCCCCCCCCCAACTATTTCACCACTACAATAGCATAAGCTCCAGGCACACAGTAAATACATAGCGCTGTTATCACAGCTTAACAGATTTTGACTGTGTGTGTGTAAACATTGTGTTTTAATAATCGCCAGCTGCTTTAAATCAGCCTGTGTAGCTCACGTTTGCAGCGGTGTTTATAAATTCCAATTAGCTAAAAATTAGTCTGTTGATAATATAACAACAGTTATTGTGGAGAAACGATGTTTTGCAACTTGAACGTTTTATTTTCCATTTAATCAAATTAAAGCCTCAAACGTCATTGTATTATGTTAGTATTTTATGAAGTTTACCAACATAAAGCAGCCCATAAATGGGAAGGGAAATTAACTTTAGACTTTATTTTACAAAAAAAACAAAAAACAACAAAAAAAACATCTTATGTGTTCATCCTTCTTAAGAAACACCTTTTTTGCTGTATTTACAGTGGCTGTTTGTGCTTACTCTGCCCATAAAATAACCTCGTGTTGAGATCCATCTTCCTATAAACTCTGATCACATTTCCTGCGTCTGCTAAAGAAAAGCATTCCTGCAGCATGATGCTGCCACCACCATTTTTCACCCCCACCACACAAAGCATCTTACATGTAAGCCAAAAAGTAAAATGCTAATCTCATCTGACCAGAGCAACTTCCTCCTTCCTTTGTCTGCAAGACGATGGCAAAATGATCCAAAATTTAATCCAAGAGATGGCTTTAGTGTTGTGTTAGTACACGTTTGTGCAAGATCTGAAAAACCAGTTCATAACTGCATTTGTAATAGGATCAGTGTATCTCGTCTATAGTGATTCTACTTTAGTAGGGAAGCTCTATCAGCGACAGATAGGCATGTCTTTAACATTTTACCTACTTCCCCCCCAAACTGACTGAGATCGTTCAGTCTGGATGGAAAGATTTTTCCAGAAGAAACCGACGGTGATGTAATTCTATCAGATTATGAGAACGGTGTCATACGTACCTTGCCGTATTTCTGCGCATAGGAGCCTGTGAGCAAAGAATGGAAGACGATGATCGTCTCATCTAGATCCCACACAAACACTCTCTGCAGAACCAAACAAAAGAGATAAGAAAGTATTTCACAACAACCAAAATAATTTTTTTTTAAAGTTTTGGCTTTATACTTTTATTGTACAAGACACTGAAAACTGTTCCACGTCTCTTATCCTTTGCATTGTAGTCAACAGTAAGCAGGTTGGATAAAAATCAAACGAAATACCATATTTCCATTGAGATTTGAATAGATTGTTTATTCAGAACTCCAAGTGCTCTGTGAGAGCGAGTTCTTTAGTTCTTTACCTCCAGGTCACTGTCAGGGGGAGGAGAAGGGTTGTTTTTGCGGCCCCTGCCGCGAGACTTGGACCCCCCACTCCGGCAGGCTCTGTCGTCCAGCTCTTTGATGGGCGTGGAGGGGCTCTGCACTGTATCAAAGTCCCCTGAGAGCGAGTACAGAGACACAGAAAATATGCTTGAAACATTTCATATTTGGAAATCCTCCCAAATCTACCTCAAAACTACACAAGCAATCAAACTACGTCCAGTGCACTGGAAAGCAATAATGTGGTTAGAGCTGATTTCACAAGTGTTCTGTTGCTCTAAATCAGACTTGTACTGGCTGTCAAATTTAATAATTCAATGCAACTGGAACGCCAGATCAACTTAAAAGAAAGCAGGAAACCTAAAAAAAAAAGAACAATTGGTTGTTTCGACAAATTTTGGGATAACGGGAACATGTGAAGGTTTAGCAAAACGAGAAGGAGAAAACTTGTGCGATCTGATTGCTCTTGCATAGATACTGCATGTGTGTCTGCAAAGGAATACAGAAGAATGCGCACAAAGACACACACACACACACACACACACACATTCTTCCACACGAGCACGCCCTCCCACTGCCATATGCTCCTACTGCTGCCTGGTAACTAGAACCAGACCTTAAGCTTCGACTCTCATATTGTTATGTCTCAATCTGAGTGGAAAGGGAGAGTGTGAGAGTGGGGGTGGAGAACAAAGACACACACTACATGTGACGGACGACAACAACAACACCAACAAGAAAAAGGACAGTTACACACTGGAGCTGCTTGGGAGATTGAGGAAAAAGTGAGAAGGCTAAAGAATGGGGAAAAAGTCAGCGACAGCAAGAATGATAAGCTTTTCTAATCAGTGATTCTGAATTACGGCCAAGACAAACCAAAGTCAAACAAGAAAAAAAAAAAAAAAAGAAAAGGAAAACCGTGCAGTTGAATCTAAAGTTATGTTTTTAGGCACAGTTTGGTATGTTTTTTTTAGCACACACATGTACAATATTTAGCATTAGCTGATTGGAAATAAAAATGTGACCCAGTGGTTAGAACATGGTTTTGATCTTTGTTACGCTAACGTTTGGGCTTTTCTGCAAATTCTTTTCTGCAACTTCTGTTGCAATGGATTACAATAATCTTGTTGACTCAATCAACTTGTTGTCACGGCGTCACTTGAACGTAAAGTTGTTATTAAATACTTTTCTCTTGACTGATTTAAATTATTCTTCCTCTGCAGCCCCTATCTTTTGAGGGGTATCTCATTTGTAGATTGATCTATTCAATTATTAAATTTTGCTGCAAAAATCCAATTGAAACCTTATTGACATAAAAATCTGCAAGGGTGTGAAGAAGTGTCTGATTCCCTTTTTTTTTTTTTGCACGCTTCAGAATTTCAGAACATCATATCAATTTAAATGTTACTCATAGACAAAACAAGTAGACACAAAATGCATCTAAATCTTGTCTTACTGCCTCCCTTGTTTCACACATTTCGGCTTAGCTCGACTATAAAGCACTGTGGTGTCAAACTCTCAGACGTATTAAGGAACCTTACAAACCTGGGTGAATCTCAGCAGCCTGTCCGGTCATGGCAGGAGCGGGATCTTGCAGCTGGTAGGCTGCCGTGGAGCCGGTGCCATCCACGCTGTTGGAGGTCATGTACGACCCGTAAGTGGAGGGGGAGTAATACTGCGCATACTGGTTTTGGCCAAACGTCGTGTACGAGGGATAATCCTGCAGATGATAACGCTGATTGTGAGCACATAAACAGTAAAGACAAGAAGTACAAGAAGCAACATGCTTCGGTTTCCAGGAAACGGCCCAGACGTCCTTCTGAGAGCGGATTTTACTAGTGTTCCCCTCTCATTTCTCTAATCCTTCATTCCCTCCAGTCTTTATTTTTGTATTCCAGAGACAATCAAAGCCTTGTGCTTCTCCGTTTAAATGACCAAGTGGAGATGGGCACTTTTATGACTCAGCTCTCTAAAACTGTCAGTACATCCATCTCTGGAAGTCTTTATAAACTGCAGCATACCACATAAATGCACATAAACATTTTTGCACAGATGGTGTGTCGTCAAACAAAGAGTTGTACGCAAGTCTGTTCTCATATTCTACAATGTGGACAGACTTAATTGTTTTCTGCCAGACTCCAGTCCCTCCTTTTGGTCTTGTGCTTTTTCTTGTCTTTTTCTTTTTTTTTTAATTCAGTAAAGCGTTTCCAATATGCAAGGGAACATTTTTGCTCGCTCACATTAAAATTCATCACCTAACCATAAACTTTAACCAGCTTAACCATAGCCTTAAAATCGATTATTTTAAACAATTTGTCTTTTTTTTATGCTAAACTGCTTTTGTCCTCAAATTGGTGCCGTATTCCCTGAGTGTGGGCATTAAATCAAAACTGTCCTCACAACTTGAGAAATACAAGCGCACAAACACACACACGCACGCACACACACACGCACACACACACTCTCCACCCGCTTTGGCCAAACTTTGGGTTTCTTTTATTAACAACCACATCTATCAAAAAACAGACATTATAAACCCTCTTATTAGCATTTCAGTGCCAGAATACCATTTATCATGTGGACATAAATAAATATTGCAGGACAAAGCATTTTTTAACTGAGGCTAATTTTCTACTTTGTTCAAATGTTTCCCCAGGTTGCAAAATTGCTGTAAGGTTTTATTCATTCTGCCGCAAAAGAACAAATTGCTTAGGTTTTCAAATATCTTGCAACTTAAACGACGTAAAATACTTTAGCTTTTCGACGGACATCAAATCTGTCAAACAATTATGTACAGTTATGGAGCACCGTTTGTCTTATTGAGTGCGGGAAAGCGAATGCTGATGTACTAGACTGATAAATACTGTGTGTGTGTGTGTGTGTGTGTTTGCACAGTACCTGCTGTGTGGCAGTGTAGTTGGCAGGGTTGGACACAGAGTTGTTGGTGGCGTAGAGGCCTGACGAAGGAGTGAAACTGGAACCTTTGAAAACAAAATACAAGAACAGAAAAAGTGGAACCGAAAACCTTTGCGAAGAGGTAATCTTACTCCCAGGACCAGCCAGAAGAGAAATATGTACGTTTCACTGAACTGACCTGGCATCTGATAGGGTGAGTAGGCAGTCTGTCCGGGCTGAGGTGTGGTGAAGCCGGGGCTGTAGCTGAGGCCAGTCTGGAGTGGAGACTGACTCTGAGTGAGGCTGCTCTCCGTCTTAATCCCAGGAAGCATCACACCCAGATCTGTGACGAGAACAAATAAAAACTGGTTATGCCGTTATCACTTCCATAAATATCTCTCTTGCAATGAGATTCACAGTAACTCTTTAGTTTTTTTTCCCCCTTTGTCTCTGCTAGCATCAGTAAAACTGTTAAATGCCTGGTGGAATTTGATGCTTCAGTATAAAGTATCCTACAGTTTTAACTAGAACCAAAATTGGTAACACTTTATTTGAAGGGGTGTGCCGTGGCCTTCTATTTTCCAAAAAACAAAATTCCAACAAAGGCCGTGTTGTTAACAGGTGGTTTGATTTGAACGCACTTCTGACCTGATTTGTTTTGAAAAAAATATATTCTAGTTTCTAGGGTTAAGTTATACCAAGGTTTTTAAAAGTTACGATTTCAAAACCCCCGAAGCCGTCCACTTTGCCGTCCCTCTGGTTTAAAGTCAGAGACCAGAGTTCTCTCTTGCTTTTAGGAGAAGAAGAAGCAACGAGATTCAATTTAATTCAGTTCAAAAATAACTCATTGATCCCAAAGGGAAATTAAACAGTGTCCTGACCTCATGTCATCCAAGTATCTCCAAAGAGTCGCTGGAGATGGTGATGTATGTCGGCTTCACGACGGTCATGACATGCTAACAGGTCAGTTTCTGGGCACCAGAAACAATATTTCACAGAAAATGTTCTGGATGACATCATCAGCTGATGGCAAGCAACGCTAATCCACCTCATTTGCTTTTGCAGAAACGTTTTATATCTCTGTCTGGTGGTATGTTTAGAGAGACATTGGAGACGGCGATGAGATTCTTGCCCATTGAGGTCAACGGTAACGATAGTTCGAAATTCCCTCTTCTCTCTCTGCAAATTTGAGGTCATAGTTCAGGTTCTACTAGAGCTTTTGAGATGCTAATCACATGCTTTCGTTTGTGAAAAACAATACCTTGTTGCCACGGTTATGCATCATAACAACTATCCAGAAGTAAAGAAGTAAGAACAAAAAAAAAAAAAACCTCCTAGCTGCACAGCTTCCAAAACCACAAGGAATAATTGTGTAAACATGAAATGCCTCAACCGAAAAAAAAAAAAAGAAATTACAAGCAAAAGTCTACAAAAAAGAACAAATGAGAACCAATGTAACAGAGCAACTCCAACATTCTGCCACCAAGCCTGACCTAATTCTAGCATTATAGATAACCCTCCCTTGCCTGTTTGCTGCTTAATCTCTGGATGAAAGATGCCTACTACCCATTGCAAAATTAAACACATTTTTAGCGCCTGCTTTTCATACCATAAGTGGAGAGTCCGTAGGCCTGTCCCGTCTGCGAGTAGGCTGTATAAACGGTTGACTGCTGCATGCTGCTGAACTGGGGCTGGCCAGCGTATGTTGGCATTGCAGGAGCCGGTGGTGTGGAGAGGATGTGAGGGTAGGGCCTGGGGAAAACCGAGGTGAGCTTATAGACAACTCTACCTCATCGAAGATGTGTTTGAAAGAAAACGAAAAAGCAAGCAAACTTACTTTGACGGGTAGAGCGAAGGAGAGTACTGATGGGCCGAACGAGGGCTGTATCCGCTGCTGGTGATTACTGAAAGCAGTAAAATAATCCCAAACAAGAAAGTTTGAAACCGGTGTTTAGCTTTGCTTATAATAAAAATCCTTCACGACCAGCATAACTCAAGGGCTCTGGCTTATTGGAGCTGAAATGCTATTCCAGTAAACACACAATCCGAAGCATTTTGAATGGAGAAAAGCCAAGTTCTCCACTGCAGAGAGAGAGTCCACAAAGAAAAAGAAAAAAAAAAAACCTTACAGTGGGCCTCACAGTGAAACACAATGTCTTTTTGTGGTCATTGAGATGTCAGAGCGCAGTACTGACAAACACCCCGCTACTTTTAAGTGCTCTCGCAAATGCTTTGTGTGTCCGCGTGTGGGTTTCGCAGTGTAAAAGAACCACAGGGCTGTTTGTGATTCTAAAAAAAAAAAAAAGACAAACGTGAAAATGTCTCTCATCCTCGTGCCAGCCTTCTTTCATGATGCAATCCAAGGCCAGACAGCAGTGCAGCGGATTAAAGCTTTCAGCAGGGCTGCCACCGAGCTAAAACGGATGATGACGATATCTACGGGAGACAATGGTTTTGTGTGCGTCGAGCTGAAATGCTCGACGTGTTTTACCTGAGCCGGCGTATGTGTCCAGTGCCGTGTCGCCTGTCGTGGTGACCGTATCGCTGCTATTCAAAGGCTCTGTTTTCACTTAAAAGAATAGGACAAGAAATAGAGTTATAGCTTTTAAGCTTATGATGTTTCATAAATAAAATGAAAAAAAACAAACAAACAAACAAAAAAAACCCATAAATCGTGCAGGGTAAAAAGCAAATAAACAAATACATCACCATGCAATTCTGCAATTCCAGTGTGTCAACAGAAAGTTGTGTGCAGGGGTTCCCCTTTTTTTATTTTTTTTTTTAAAGTTAATCAAAGTTCGCCGTTGAGGGTATCAAGTTTAAATAGCTACAACCTAACTGAGCACCTTAATGTACCCGCCTTCCTGTTTTTCATTCAAGTTCCTGAAAATGATAAATACCATGAAATTCGATAATTACGTTTAAAACACAATTATGTACAGAAAACCACCTGGCAAATTTCCCTTCACATCTACCGACTTCCCCTGCAAATCCATGAAAGCCGATCCTCTGACCAGTGGGAACCTCTGCAATAACTACATTTGAAGACCACACACGCCGTCATAAATTCAGTGTTGGCATGTCAAACACAAACAACACAGCACAGCAAACAAAAGCCAATCAGGCCGGGCCCTGGCAGAAAAATCATTCTCTACTACACAGACTGACCCTCTTTGCTGTTAATGTAATGCTCTATGAGTTTCACACACATGCTCCTCTGTACCATAGTCCTTGGAACCCGAGGCAGGGGGCGGGCTGCTGCAGCCCAGCAGCCAATCAGCCGTGTTTAGAACGGTCATGCTTTCACCTGCGGGAGTGCAAGGCGGGAAGATGGAGAGGATATGATGCAACTAAAACCAGGTGCATGATCCATGGTAGATTATTAATAACTGCATCACACAGATGATTGTGAAACATTGGTTTAAAGTACATGAGGAAAAATTTGGAATATGTTTTTTTTTTTTTTTTTGGCTTGACTATTTAAGTTATGAAACCAAAGGCTAACTTTGAGAAACGTAAGCAAAGGTCGACAAAAAAGTACAATAAGAAGCACAATTTTGGCAAAGAAGACAATTCTCAGTGGTAATGTAAAAGACTCAATGGCAAACACTCTTTGTGTTTAGTCATGTTTACCCTAATATTAAAGTTAAAATTATTTAAGTGTGGCAAATAAGCAAAAACAGAAGGAATCTACGTGGAGGCAAAAGACTATTTATTTCACCACCGCAAAAGTGTCAACTCAAAAGAAACTTTAATAGATTCGCCTAGAAGTAAACCTGGGTGATTGTGTGGATAAACAAAAGATGGAACCGTTTTAGTGATTTAATGTGTTGTTGCAAATTGTATAGTTAACATTTTTATACCCGTTTTAGAAAACAGAATTTCAATGTGAACCGAGAGCAAACGCTGTTTGATGCATCTTTCTCTGCTTCCATCCATGTGCATATGTGCGTAAACGATTTCCTCCAAGCAACAAAGAAACCAACTTCGGGACGTGATCGCCAATTTAAAACAGCCTGCCTCTTGACCCTCTTTATATATTGCATACGGTCCTTGGTCACTTCTTTGAACATGATTAAAACTCATCAGCGACCATATGAGAACTCCATTTAATTCCGGTCGGCTTCATTAATCCCCTCAGGGAGCAATAGAGCCCAGTGGACCAGCTGTAATGAAGACAAATGAGTTGCTGTGGAGATGGCCCGTGGGCCTGAGTGTTGGCTGATGTCAGGTGAGGGGAATGCTGGTTATGTAGTTTGTTTTGGCTGTCTGTGTGTAGTCCCGACTCTGTCTGTTTTAACTATTAACTGTGAGCTCATCACAAATGACTCGATGGCGTCTGAATTTGGCGTTAGTCTGCCCGGGGCCGATGCTATTAATGTAGCCGCGTCTCCGTTAGCACGTGGAGACGAGCAAACTGCGAGATGAAAGTTTTCCGATTATCGTCTGCTATCAAACTGTGGTTAGATCAAAGGATCATCTTCAATAAAACCTTTAAATCCTGTGTTGTTACATTGTTAAACTCCTTTGAAGCCCACTGAGAGAATAGGGTAGTAAAGGGTGACGTAAAGGGATAGAGAAAAAGATAAATTGTGGAAGAGGGAGGGAAAAGAAAAGGCTGGTGGAGAAAGAAAAGAGAAGAGAAAAGTGCAAGCTAGCGTTGACATCTAAGACAGCAGTGATGCTTTAATGCTCTTGTAGAGGAAATAGTTTCCAGTAGGATTTTGGGCTTGCACTTAAACTCAACACACACACAGACGCAGTTTGCCAAGTGGTTAGCCGAGGAAAGCAGAAGAGCTTTACTGTGTGTTTACGCACATTCTGTGGTGATTTACTAAAGCACTAATTCCAGTGTGTGCGTGGGCGTGCACTCAGACATTTGCATGTGCATGTCTAATGTTCGTCTCCATAAATGTCCTCATCCTGTATTAATCTGTGCATGTTGAAAATCTTAAGCACATTTTTTTTTTTTTTTTACAACAGGTTTCATGACGTTGAATTCAAATGCTTTTGTTTGAACCACGTTTCAGTGTGTGCCTTGCACGTGTGCTTTCTATCAGATGGTCTGTAGCTGTTCACAGAGTTTGTACTTCTGAAAATAAAGTAAGTTTTAAGGTTTTAGGCAGTGAATGCCGAACTGTTTATTGTAACTTGGTGTTTCACTTCATATTGCACAAAAATAGGATTTATCCAGGAGGAAAATTAAGACAGTTTTGGCAACCAGGAAAAAAAAAAAAAAAAAATCACGTTCTTGCTAAAACTTTACCGCTACATTTCTTTTATTATCATTTTTATTATCTCATTGATCATTAAGGTGGATGTAGAAATTAAAAAAACTCTTTTTCTACAAAAAATAAAATGTACTATAATGCTCTAGTCAGTTGGAAGAATTTTAAGTTTACGCATTTACATAGGATATAATATTCAGTATTTAGAAATAAAAAAAAAAATACTTCCACTTGTCTAGCTTTTAGATATGCTTTTAGACAACTAAATCTTGTCTCCATCTTTGAATTTTTCTGCCAAGCAGTTTAATCATTGAGACATGATGTTTATATCAATCTTTTCCTGGCTAAGAATGGAGCAAAGGAGCTGAACTGCCCAATATGAGTATCTGTGTTTTCCAGTACAATGCATAAACATTTTTGTCAGAGTTGACACACCTTTTGTTTTTTCTTTCCATTAAGTGAATTTTTCATTGAAATAACAATCCCTTCTTAATGTATTCGTATCACTTGAGCTTTTTAACATCTTGCCAAGTTAGAAGCCATGAAGTTAAAAAAGGGCCTCATTTGTAGTTTGCCATAAGCATTGTACTGAACACAACAAAAATGGGGAACAATATTTATTTTGGTCAGATGAGTCTAAACTGAGCTGTTTGGCCTACAAGCAAAATGCTACGTAGGGTAGAACAATAAACCGCGCTTCGCTGTAAACAGACAATGCCCCATTTTGAAACACGGTGGTGGTAGTATTATGCTGCAAGGAGGTTTTTCTTCAGCAGCGACGGGAGAGTTGGATAGAAATAAAGACAGGGCAATTGTGGTAGAAAATCGTTTAGACTTAAAAATTAAACTTTACATTAGATGTAAAAAAAAAATAAAATAAAATAATTTTTGTCTCCACAATTTAGCTTTACTTTGTGTTGCCGTCTTACTACCAGAATAAATTGAAGTGTGGGGTCATAATGTGACAAAGAGACTTTGAGACCATTAAACGACTTAAAGTGACCTCTCCAGCTCAGTCACAGCTGGTAAAACGTGTTCTGCCTGCTCACCTCCTGTTCCATTAGTGGTGATGGAGGGACTGCCAAGGTTGCTCTTGTCCAGTTTGGAGCCTGTCGAGTCTCCGGCTCCCACACGGTTATGAGGACTGGCTAGGTCCTGCATTTCCATAGACCTAACAGAGGCGAGGATGGAGGGGCAGGGAGCAATAAGATGAACCGCATTTCTTGAATGACACACACAAAAAAATTCAACAACCCCCCGCCACAAAAAAAAAAAAAAAACGCTCCCACAGCTGGAGAACCTACCTCTTTGATTTAATATGTAAGACTCCCAGTGAGCACATTCAGTCATATTCAGTATTCCCACAGTGTCGTAAACCTCATGCTGCTCAGTATCGGTCAGCTTAGCCGAGCATGTGTTCAGAGGCGTTAGACATTGACTATGGGCCTGCTGGCTATTTTATGGACTGGGATGTGTGCGCTTGTGAGCGAATGTGTGTGTGTGTGTATGTGTGTGTGTGTGTGTGTGTGTGCACTTGCGGGCAGCAATACAAACCCACAGCCTGCCATGCTTCAGCTTTTACAACGTGCTCTACGCGCATGACTGGGACGGATCAACGCACAAGGTGGTGATGGTAAACCGAGAGTGTGAGTGAGTGTGCGGGCAGTCAGAGGCAGAAGAGATAAAATAACAGCTGGAGTTCAAATATTACTGACCCTCGATGACTATCGAGATCTATATTACTTTTTAAAGTTGGAACGAAACACATATTGAAGAAATAAATCACTCTTTGCTACTGTTAATGCATGCACATTGTGAGGAAAAACCAACTCAAAACTCAAGTTTGTTGCAAGTCATCACTAACGACTCACAGCAGCAGAAGAAGAGGGGTTTTTTTGGAGGGGGGGACATAGTTCTTTGTTAGCTCCTTGTGTGTGTGGACAGTACCTCTTATAAAGAGCCCTTAGTCACTGACCCCAAGGTTTTCTCAAACTCTTCCTTTTGTGCGGTACATCAAAGGCCAAACAAACACAGAGATGAACCAAACTAATGCGGGCTGTCGCTGGAAAGAGCGAACGTCCCTGCAGATATCTCTACATCTCAACACATGACTGCAAACCAAAGTCAAGATACATAATAAACATTTTATAGCTGCCTGGGGAAGACATCCAAAAGTAAAATGTGCAAAGAACAAAGAATTTAAGCAAGATATGGCGTTCACCTGCACACTCAGACTAAAATAATGCCTTTTATATTATGTGCACAGAGTTTCACAGTTGCTTTTCCGCTGTGTGTTCAAAACGCTTCATCCATCCTTACTTTTGTCTTTCAACAGCAGGAAATAATTCTCTCTCCCCTCCTTGCCCATTTTCCCCCCTCTCTGTTTTTGCTCGTCTCGAGAGGCAGTGGCAGGATTTGGTGTTTCATAAACTCTTTTCTGTTTTTTACATTACGTCTGGCCTTTGACTAAAATGAGCAAAATTCTAGTAAAATATACGGCTCGCTGGAGTCAGAGACATACAGCAGATTCAGCTAAGATGCAGCTAAGGATTATATTCATTCCAGTTGTTTTGGTCGAATGTATTATTTTAGAAGCAAAAAAAAAAAAAAAAAAAAAAAGCCTCATGTCAGTAAAATGTCCCATTTACAATCAGCTGTAGAGTTAGAGAATTCAGTGCCTTGTAAAAATGTCTATAGACCTCTAACTTTTGGTTGTGTTACAATGACAAATTTCCTTTTACTCTATTGTGATTTTATATTACTGACCAACTGTGATGTTAAAGGAAAAGGAAGCATGTTTTTATGTTGTTGTTTGTTTTTTTGTTTTTTTTAAAGACAAATATGTGAAAACTAAGATTTGAGTCACTGCTTGCAGTTGGGGAATGTTTCTAGCTTTTTCTGGAGGGTAGAGGCTAAAATTTATGCCCACTCTTCTTTAAAAATAGTTCAGTCCAAACAGATGGAGATTGGATCTGTGAGACGCACTTTTGCAATTGATTCTTGTTTAGATTTAGATCTAGAATATGACAGGGCCATTACTACAAGATGAATATGCCCAGATCCAAACCACGGTAGCTCTGGCTGCATCTATACCGTCACTGTACTGCTGGGAGGGGAACCCGACACTTGGTCTATATATTTTTCCGTCTATCTTTTCACCAGCTCTCACCAGCTTCCCTGTCTTCCTGAAGAACGGCATCCTCAGAGTATGATGCTGACACCACCAGGTTTTACTGTGCGGATGATGCGTAATGTTAATATTCTGTCCTCAGGCCAATTACCGTATTTTCCGGACTATAGAGCGCACCATACTATAAACCACAGCTACAATTAAAAAAACAAACAAAACAAAAAAGAAAACTGGAAACCTACATATATAAGCCGCTGGTATCTCTGCCGCTCTCGGATTTACGTCGTGCTTGCTGCTAGCATGTGCTTGTGCTAAATGAAAATTGGCACTTTCTTCTTTGATTTCTAATTATGACTTCCATTGATTCGCTTCCTGCTAAAGAGCCCCCTGGTGGTTGAAGAAAAATCCACAGAAAAGCCGCACCGGGCTATAAGCCGCATGGTTCAAAGTGTAGGAAAAAAGTAGCGGCTTGACTTATAGTCCAAAAAATACGGTAGTACATTTCCAGTTTCATCTAGCCAGAGCAACTTATATACTTGTCTCCCACATAAACTGGATTTTACTTTGGCATATCTCAGTGTGCAAAAATATTCTCTCCACAAAAGCTTTATAAAAGCTTTAAAAAAAATTACTTCCTCGTCCTCTTCCTAGTCCTGATTTGTTTGATCAGGACTATGTCAACTTTTTCAGATTTTTATCACTAAAAACATTAGAACCATACATCCATTTTCCTCTACTCCATGATTACATACTACTTTTTGTTTGTCTACCACATTAAAGCCTAATACATTTGTGGTTATAAAGTTACGAGATGTTAAAATAAAGGTCAAGGTATATGTACTCTATATTTTAACTCTATATTAAAAGGTACTCTATATTTTAACTTTAAACTACATGATCTCGAACATTTTGGCAGGATACACCAGAAGAAGGATCTGTTCCCGTTGCTCTCAATGCATGTATGGTATGTGTCATTTGCATTTCAGCTCGGGGTAATCAGTATATCTTTCTTTTGCATGTGAGTGTGCGTGTGTGTGTGTGGTTTTCAGAAACTGAAGCCTTTGGGAAGTACCGATGACCTCACCACTGCTTGCGACTGCAGTGAAACCTCACCTCTCTGCACCATGATCAGAGAAACAGGACACACACACGCACACGGTGTCAACAGCGCACACATATAAATGAGCATACCTGGCGTCTGAAGGGTCTGGAACATGAGATTCACGGTGTGATTTCTTCACCTGCGGAGAGACCAGAAGACAGTAAATTACTTTGCAAACACACAGCCTCAAACACACAAATGTGATGCATTACGCACAAGCAGCTCATAAGAACCAGTGTTAAGTGTCCCATAAACAAGCCCCATAAAATGGTGTTAATGAGTCAAACACATTGTACCAGGATTATAAAACGATGTGATTCAAAAGAAAAAAAAAAATCCCTCAACACTTCTAGGAGATGAAGCTATCTGTTATGCAAATTATAAAAGAAGCATATTTTATTATTTTTTCAATTAGACTGGGTTTGTAACATTACCAAAGTGCAAAAATAATTTACAGTAAAAAAGAAACAAAAAAAAACTCTGAAGTTTGTTACGGACTCATGACATGCTAAAGACACTGCCTAAGTTAATAATATTGTTCTAAATGGTTTTTTGTCCTTTAGAGTCTTGCAGTGCTGCTCCTCCCCCACCTGTTGCTGGTACACATCTCCCTTGCTTACAAGAACTTGAGCTTGAAGAGAAAGGACTGAAGGGGAGTTACCCATCAGCTAATATCAGGTAACTATACTGATGTTACTTTTTTAAGGAGGAGAAACCGAAAAAGTTTACTCGAAAACTATAACAAAGGCTGATTTTTTTTAAGTCGAAATTGTTGTCTTTAATTCAAAACCAAATAATACAAATGCAGCTGAAACTGACAGTATAAAAAGAGATAACAGTTTCCACTGTCTGATAGTCATTCAAAATAAACCTGCTCTCTTCAAGATCAGTCAGGAATACCAAAATTATTTTTATTTGCCAGGAGACAGAATAAGGAGGGGATTGTTTTTTTTTTTCTTTAACTTTCTCAAAATGTAGGCGTTTACATATTTTCTTAGGATTTGATAGAGTGCATGACTTAGGTCCAACATGTTGCGTATCTTTGAATGGTCATTCATCCTGGCCCACTCCTCCTGACAAAGTTAATGAAACAGAATCAAGATTGCAGATCGTCTTGCTCACACACATCGTTTCTGCCCTAATTCCACATGCTTGCCTCCATTTAACTGAAATGTTATAAATTAAGCTCCTGGCGTATGTCTGACGTTAAAGAGAGTAATACAAATGCAACATAAAAAAAATCAGGAAGAAAAATGGTTCTGTCTTTTCCACAGTTGTGCAGATCTGATTACAACTTTGTGTTAAAAATAACTTAATAAATGTTGCATTATTTTCCCAGTAAGAATTTGTAATTTGAAAATTAAAGCATCTAGACAATATTTCACGATTACTGCTTTGAATTTCCGTGTAGATATTCAAACACTGCGACATTTTTTACCAATCCAATCACATCCTGATCATTTCATGCCATCCCATATTTTCAAATAAATCACAACCTGCTGTCAGTAGCAGAAGGTGCCACCAAGTTCAAAGTGCTAACTACAGTCTAAGTGACAGATATTAACTTTCCCTTGTTCACCTGTGACCCTATCTCCATCCTGCGCTCGATCGCTGCTCTCAACCCCCTGTAAGAGTTCAAAGGTCCCAGCGGGGTCATGTTAGGTCACAGCGGAGAGGTCGCTCCTCACCGTTAAACATGTCCGTGTTAGAAACTGAACTCAGCCTTGACTTTGGAGGGGTGTACTTGTGACATGTGGTCAAGTCAATCAGTGTGTACGGGTTCTTGGGGGGAGGGGGGGTAAGATTATGGAAAACCGTACTTCAGTCTCCACCGCAGCATACACTCCCTGCACACAGGCTCGGTTTACGCACGGCTTTGTGTGAGGCTATGTCGAGACAGACAGCAGACCAGTGGTTCTCTATTAAAATTCCTCTCTCTTATTTGGAGCAGGAACTAATTAGACGAGTAAATGCAGGGTGGAGCGAGGGCCAATGTGTACCAGCTGCCATATAATCACTGTGTCAACACACCGTCAAGGTGCAGGGGCACGCGCAGGCTGCCAAACACACAGTCCCACACAGGGTAAAACGCAGTCGCAGGAAAATTCAACCAGGCAGCATACGTCCAGGTAGTTTCCAAATTATCGCAATCATAGGTAAGTGCGCAGGAAAAAGTGCGAGGCAGACGCTAAACTCCGGTTATCTGGAAACTAGGACATGTCTTGCGTGTTGATGTGTGTGTGGCGAGGACGCCGTTGTGCTGCTATGGTTCTGATTAGAGGATCCTGCTGAGAGAGTATAAGAAGCAGCACTTAGCTGTTTAAGACAGAGGTCAAAGGTCGGCCAGACTTCTCATATGGATCGCTTTACACACACACGCACACACTCACGCAGGCACGCACACCCACACACAACACTTTCATGTCATGTTTCATGCTTTACTGAAATTTAACAAGGCTGTCAGTCACGGCATCAACTAGGATGGCCGTGAGAAACTGCAATCCACATGTAGCACACATGCAGGTCCTCCCCCCACCCCCCAACACACACACACACACACACACACACACACACATGCAGCAGCGCATGAGCTTGGCTTGGTTTCTGCCTCAACATGATCTACGAAAACACAAGCACACGCAGGCTTTGATCCCGGAAAGCTTTTAGGACGCACGCGTTCCCTCAGTGTCCGAGTCTCTCGCCTCGCTCAGTGTGACGAGTCTTTTATCTTTGACTCTCGGACATGCTTGTTTCACAAAGAAATAAAAGAAAAGTCGCATTTGTTTTATGGGTTAGTCAAATATGATAGACGCAATAAGTTATCTTTATCTTTATTAGACGATTCTGCTGTGCGTAAACGCTCACAGGAGGTATTTCAACAGGCCATCCCGTTGACAAAGTGAAGAGGTAACAAAACTGTAATATTTAACATTAGAAGTGGTAAAAAAAAAAAAAAATCCAGCATCATTAGCTCTGCGAGAACTAGTGCTCAGCTAATTTTGCTTCTAGCGTCAGACACAAAGCTCCCCTGAGTTCACTCTTAGGTGGCCACAATGTCTGAATAAACCATTTGTGTCACCTGAGCCACCAAAAAAGATGACCTTTGACCTGGTTGACCGGGTGACCGGTCTGGAACACTACCTGGTCGGCGAAAGGACTCCCTAAGGGATAAATTCATCTGGCACAGGTAATTAGCACAATAAAGATCCATTTGAGCAAATACTAAGAGGCTTTATTATTGCAGTTGAACTCGGCTAGAAATGAATGAGTTAGATGTAACCAGAGGATCATTTTATATCTTCTGAAATTATCAGAAGATCTAAAATGGTTGATGGAGTTATTTTTTCTTAACTCCATCAAGAAGCTGAGATTCGGCATTAAAAACGCACATATCAGGTTTTGTCTGAATCCGCACGCCTCTCCAGGGAAGATGAATTAAATTAGATTAACAGATAATATTCATCTGGAATTATATCTTAAAAATAGAGTTTTTATATGTGACACACACACTGAATTTTAAAATAAAGTCTGAAAATTTAAGAACTGAAATTAATATGAATGAAAGCGACATGCATAAGCTTCAATTTCCAGTCTGTTGTTAATTTCAATGCAAGTCAACCGAAGTACATAAAAAACACATCTGTTGAGTTTCTCCCTTTTTTCCCCCCTCCAGAAATAGCTTATATTTTAGTAAATTTAGAACTTTTGATCAACCAGATATTTTACCGATTCATTAGGCAATCCTTAAAAACGGGAAAGCATCACAGCAGCTTTTGTTTTCTTTGAATTTCAAATAAATTTCCTCTCGGACTCGGACATCCGTTCTTACCTCAGAGTGCAATCAGGTCAGTCAGCATTCCCGCTCTTCCACAATGCATTACGGAGCGCTACGATCGGGCAGCTCCCCCCTCAAGACGCAGACTGCCCTCTCACCCGCAGGCAGAGACTCACACTCGCTCCCTAAATGCCTCTCTTCTCCGTCTACCTGCTTCACACTTTGTACTCCAGGAGTCGCATTCGTCTAAAATGTTTCCCCCTTTTGTTTTTTTTTCTTTTGGACTTTTCTTTGTCACTCTGTGGGACCAGAGAAAGGGAACACTGCGTATTAACTACGTCCTCTCTGCTGCCGCCGCTGCTGCTGCTGAGGTCAATCCATGCACAGCTGCTGTCTTCCCCGACTCCAGTAATGGGGAACATTTCGCTCGACTTGTTCCCCTCCTCCTCTGCCTCCACCCCCTCTTTTTTCGCTTCTCCTCCTCCTCCTCTTTTTTCTCTGCTGTCACTCATTACAGACTCACCCAGGCTTGCATTTAGAGCCTAAAAACATTTGAAATGTTAATTGTTTTGTTCTCCCAGTCTGATCACGACTGAAGCTCTGACATAAAAATCTAGTTGTGTACACTCCCCACCCCCACTCCCCCAAAAAAACAACACAGTAAAGCATTTTATAAATGGGAAACAATGTGTGAGGATCTCCGTAAGTGCAGCAGAAAGTACAAGCAAGATCATAAACTTCGCACCTCTCAATTGACCATCCCTCCTCCCCTCCGTCCCCTACACACATATTTAGACACTCACACCACGCAGGGTCTCACATGTACACCTGAACACACTTTTCAACCCGTGTTAACTGGGACCAACATTTCGTGCGGCCGGTGTTAAAAAGAGATCAGCAGGGAGGAACGGATGGGAGCAAACACTCGCACCCATCAAAGCCTCCAGGCCGCATTGGTCTGAAGATGGCACTCTTTCACTTTGTCCATCAGTTTTAAAGGCTGGTGCCAAAGACAAGAAGCACACTTTTACACTCATTCCTGAACCACACAGATGGGTGTTCATTCTCCTTTTCTCAGTACCACTACTCCAACATAAATGAGTTCTGGAAGAAAAAAAAAAGATAGATAAATATCTTCTTCTTAATTATAAGGTAAATCATTAATTGACTCCTTTCACAAAAAAATAAAAAAATAGGGGTGTGTTCGGATCATCATTTCTACTGTATTTCAATTTATGCGACTCAACTTTAAAGTTTACTCCAAATAACTGAATATATTGACAACTGTCAATATTGATGAAAGAGCAAAACACAAATAATAATAAAAAAATCATCAAGATGTTGTATTTTCAGTACGAGGAAGAGCTTTCATTTGGTTGTGATCATGTTGTAGTTTATCGTGGGTGTGCAGTGGGAGTGAACTGAGATCTCAAGACATAAGATCTTGCCATCATAAATCGTCATGATATTTCTTGTTAAAGTGAATCCTGCGGCTCTCAACATGTACAGTCTAGTGGAGGAAGGAAGTTATTAATATGAGCCTGTTATAAAAAGGTGAGACCTTTCACACTTCCCCTGCAGCACCAGACAAAGGGCAAATTCACAGCACTTTGTGAATCTAGAGTACATTTAAATGTCTCTATTCAAACTAAAACAGTGGCTGAGGATCAAATTTTCCAATTTTTTGAATTTATTCAAATTTTTTGAGCATATTATTAATATGATATAATTTTACAAACTGGAATGTCAACTATGCCATTTCGTAGCACCTGTTTGATTGTCTACTGTTGTCACATAAATCATGTTTCATAATGGCACTGTTCCTAAAACAGTTGTTCTCATTGAAGTATTTTAATGCTTTCATTTTAGAAAAGTAAAATAAACAAATGAATAATTAAGTAAATGAATAAATAAATACAAAGCAATGTTCTACAACAATCAGAAATATTTAGGAACGTCCAAGAAGTCACAGTATACAATATATTTTTATATACAATAAATATTACTAATGAAAAGAGACCATAAAACTGACTATAGAAATGCACTGTTTTATTTTATTGTGGCATTTCATGTTAGACCTTTACATATTTATGTCCTAGTTTAATTGTAAGGTGATCAATCAGCGGTAGCTTTCATGCTCTGTGATTTATTTGCAGGTGTTATGTGACCCTGTCTGCTTTGGAAGAAGTAAAAAAAAAACAACAAAAAACTAATAAATGAAAAATGTGACAAATGAGATGTGAGCTGGTGGAATCAAGATATTGAGCTTTCAAAGTTACAGAAATCTGACAATGGAATTGCCTTTGTCATGTCTTAGAATTCAGGTTTTTTGCAAAGACATTGGTGAGAAGAAACAAATTGGACCTGCATGGCATATGGGAAACAAAAAGTGTCACTAATTTTGTAAACGGATACTGATTGATATTTTGTGCCAACTGACACTTTAAGAACAAGCACACTAGCATTAGTGTTACCATATTGAGCAAGGTAAGGGTACGAAATGTACACAGACCTGAAGACCAACTTGGAACGGAGCCACTGTCTTTAACTGGGAACCAGCCATCTATAGATTGGTCACCAACATTTATCCCCAACCTTCAAGAAAGCCCTGTGATTGATAGACTGCTTGTGGAAGGAGTGTACACATTTTAGCAAAAGTCTGCAGAGTGTGTGTTATTGGTGGATATGCGAGTGTGTGTGTATGTGCGTGAATGTGTGTGTGTGTGAGCACTGGACGTTTGAGAACGTATGTAGAGGACTAGCTGTCAGAACAGATTAGGGTGCTGCCGAAGTGCTTGACAACTCAAGCACTTTATTATTAGCCAGGCAAGACCTCATTTGGAGGGGAGGGGGGGTCGTCCAAAAACATCCCTGGTGAAATATTTTCACAGCAAGTGGAGAAGGGAGGAGAGGAGGTGTCCCCAAACATGCCTGATGAAATATACAGGCCAAATTAAAACAGAGACGAAAAGAAAGAAAAAAGACTAAACAAAACTCCAGAGAGGAGTGGATGAGATAATCAGAGCGTTGAGCTGAAGATTTGCAAAGAGTAGTGTCCTGCTGCAGCTAAATACCATAAATCAGCTTTGCTTTCTGTTGATTTTAGAAGTGCTGTAAAAACACAAGAGTGAGGTGTCCTGGCTTTGACTTTGACTTTCGAGTGGAACAACAGCGGCCCTACTTAACCCTAAATATATTTTCCAAATCGCTCAGAGATACAACAGTCTCATACAAATACTAAATAAACAGAAAAGTGGTAAAGCCATGGATTTTGCTTTAGAACAGATCTGGTTTTCTTCTGTTTCAAAATCGTTTGGATGCTTTGTAGTTAACGACAGGGAGTGACTCTGCTTACTCCAGATACATTGATCGTATTGGGCTTCTTTTTCTCACAATCTAATATTTGATTTGGTTTGCACACTTTGACTTGTCAAGTGTGATACAAAAATAGAAAATCTTACTGCTAGGAATGCCTTAATGCAGTTGCGTCTGGGTCACATGTAGGATATTTTCAAAATTGCCATGTGGCAATTTTGTTAAATCACAACATATATTCATACATCTTGTAAAACTGAATTCTAGGCTGTACTTATCCCACTATGCTTAGAAAGTATGGGATAGCTCTCAATGTGGTAAGGGGAAATAACACAGAGAGCAGCTGAAGCACTTGCCAGTGAAAGTTATGACGGTCAAACAAAAGTTTATAAAGCATAGGAACAATCTATCTGAGTTTTTTGTCCAAACAAGATTAACTGGAATCACAATGAAATATGTCATGAGCTGAATCATCAACAAGTCATATCAAAAAAGAGAGAAAACATGCTAGCATTAGCCTAGCCTTTCAGGGTGAAAATGACATGAGCTTGGTAACCACAAGCATAACAAACAAATCATAAAATACATGTATTAGCATTTTGATGGAAGTATTGTCAAAAAAACAATCATCTTCTTTAGTTAGATAACACTGTGTTGGAGCTGCTTATTACAACAGTTACAGACCCTCCGGTCAGGACAGGATATCTGTTGATGTTAAGACATGGGGATAACTGCAAGACGATAACATTAATTTTAGTGACAAAAAGAAAAGGATGCTGGGATGGAAATATTTGAAGAAGATGAAATCCAGTCATACTGAAATTAACTTGCCAGGATTTATTTATAAAGTCTATCATTTTCTGCAATTGGATGTATGAGTTATTTATTGTATGTATGTGTGTACACATACACAGTGCCTCTTCCAATTTTTACAAGGACTTCCCACTGTCTTCTATTTATTTTTAATTCATTTTTATAGTTAATCCTTACCTTAAAACCAAATCATTAAAGGCACCTCCCTAACCCTAAACTTAACCTAAAATCAAACACACCTTAGTCCTAAACCTAACTGATAACCCCCCAAAAACCAGCTCTTCTTATATGGGGCCCAGGCTTTGGGAACCCATAAGGAGAAGTCGGTCCCCACAAAGCAGTATGTGTTAGGAAAATAGTCCTGGCAATGTATCAAATACAAGGCCACACACACATGCACACGCACATGCACACATGCACACACACTCACTCATCTGCCTGTCCCCTGCTCAAAGCTTTCTGCTGTCCCCATTTGTATGAGTGGTTATCAGCGTGGTAACTTTATCCCCTTCCTTTCATGTAAAATACATTGTGCCGAGCCTCCTCCCTCGAACCCCTCCCCCCCACCTCCATTCCTCCTACACCCTGCCTCCAGTTCCTCCACCCTGGGAGGTGTAAATCTATCCGTCTCTTTATACCTCCAAAAATGCTCCCTTTTCAGGTGTAGTAGGAAGCTATAAAAGAAAAAAAAAAAAAAAACGAAGTTAGGGAGTGAAAGGGAAGAACAAGGTGAGTCTGTGGAGAAGGGGGGGAGGAGGAGAGGGGATTCAGGTGAAATAGGTATAAGTTGCTCTGTTTCTGTTCCTTTCTGGCAAGTGGTGCCCCTCTTTGCTTATGTGCATTTACACCATTTTTTAGCTAAATGTTGAGCGAAACAGGATATAAGCCATGTTCACTTTATGTCCCTCAAATAAAACTTTGAAGCACGTTTTAGCTTATCACCACGTTGAAAAAAAAATTACACTGGGTTTTAGTGTTCTACTTTGTGTGATGGCTGAATGTCAAATTCATTCATATTTAGCCTAGAATTAATAATTTAACTATTGAAACTACCAGCTTTGACGCTATTTTAGTCAAACCTGAAATGAGATATCCAAAACTAAAGTCACTTTATACAATTTATCAAACAGATATTACATAATGGAGCCTTAAATAATGGACAAGGCTTTGAAAAGTGACACATCAATGTTCCAACAGTTTATACAGATTTCCAACTTGACCTGCTGATTCCAGTTTTGCAACTTTTCAGTTTTCTGCATCGGAACAATAAGACCAGTGAGTTTGTGGTG